CACACCAGGCTGTCCCCCACCTCACCCCAACACTCACAGTTTTAAGAACAGGGACCAAGTATGTTTAAATTAAGCAACTCAGTAGGATTAACATGCATGGCTCCTTTTTAAAAGTGGAATAAAAATGTATTCTGAGGTCAGAAAAGGTGGTGGGTGATCAGCCTTTGGGGATGTAGAAATTAGTGTTCCTTCTTTGTTGACATGGAGCATCCAGGGTTGATAATTTCTTAGAAACACAGCTATTCAAATCATGTTTGAGATGATGCCTGTGTGAGAAAGCTGTTTTAATCTCTGCTGAAGGTGATGATGATAGTGATGATGGTGATGTTTTCCTGGTCCCTACTGAGCTTAAGTCTATTATAAAAATAATAGATCATAGAGGTGAATTTCACAACAAGAAAAGGAGGAGAAAAAATAATTAATAATAATACATACTTATTCATCCTTTTTATTAGTCAACAGTTATTGAGCATATTTTTCTATACATACATCATCTTGTTGGGTCCTCACAGAGCCAGAACTCTCTGGGGTAGGTATTCCTATGGTCTGCATTTCACAGATGACTACATGAAAGGTCAAAGGGGTCAAGTGACTTGCCCAGTGTAACAGAAGCAGTAAGTGGCAGAGTGAATTTTAAAACCCAGGTCAGTTAAAGAACAAAGAGGAGATAAGTAAGTGCCTGATTCAACGTGTGTGTGTGCGCATGTGTGTGTGCGTATGTGTGTGTGTGCGCGCACGTGTGTGTACATGTTTTATTTATTAACAAGACCCAGGTCAGTTAAAGAACAAAGAGGAGATAAGTAAGTGCCTGATTCAACGTGTGTGTGTGTGCATGTGTGTGTGCGTGTGTGTGTGTGTGCGCACACGTGTGTGTACATGTTTTATTTATTAACAAAGAAATAATAGCTCACCCCAGGTCAATAGCCTTACCCAACAAGAAGACCAAGAAAGCAAACAAGCCACAATTCCAGAAAGGAAAGATATAAAGAAACATGGTGTTTCCTCGTTTCTAAGGTAGAGCATTCTGTGGTCAGCAGTCAGCTGACTGGTGCTGGTGCCCAACTCTGTCACTGAACGGCCAATGTAACCCTCATGGAGCCTACATCGTCTCATCCTCAAAGGAGTCAGAATTGTCCCACCTTCCTCACAAATTCATTTAAAAAAAATTTTTTTTTTTTTTGCTTTTTTGTGACCAGTAAGGGGATCGCAACCCTTGGCTTGGTGTCACCTGCACCACGCTCAGCCAGTGAGCGCACCAGCCATCCCTATATAGGATCCGAATACGCGGCGGGAGTGCCACTGCGCTCCCAGTGCCGCACTCTCCTAAGTAAGCCATGGGGTCAGCCCACAAATTCATTTTGATCAATAACCAAAACACAAACTAGATTTTATTTTACTAATTCTATTTCTAATTACAAAGATAATTCATCTTAATCAACAAAAAAATTAGAAATAATGGAAAACACAAAGAAAATTTAAACACATGCCCCTCAAAAAAAGAAAATTTAAACACCTACAATCCCATCACTGTTGTTGTTGTGTTATATATTCTAACAGTGTTTTTTCCTCTAAGCATGAATGAATGTTAGACTATTTGATAAAATTGAGAAGCTGTTATACAAACTACTTGTAGCTTGCTTCTTTTACTTGCAATGTATCTTAAATATCTCCTTTAAATCTTCACAAGTGTGTTTTTTAATGATCATGTGGTATTTCATTGTATGGGCATACCATACAATGGAATATAATTTAAATAATTTATTTAACCAACCCCATATTATTAGATATTAAGGCTGTCTCCAATTTTGCATGATTGAAAAAAAATCACGATGAACTTCCCAGAAAATAAATATTTATGTACATTTTTGGTTATTTCCTTAGGAACAATTCCTCAAAGCAGAATTACCAGATTAAATGTTACACTTTAAGACTGTGATATATTTTGCCAAACACTCCTCCTAAAAGGTTTATCTAATTTTCATTCCAACCATCAGTTTATGAGGTTTCTTATTCTGTCATTAGCAATAGGCATCATTATTTTTAAAATGTACATTTGCTAAGTCAGCGAATAAAAAATTATATTTAACTTTCATTTCATCTATTAAACTATTCCTTTTCAAGTATTTTTTAAGTGTCATCTATATTAAGTACTGTACTGAACATTTTCATAGATATTATCTCACTTAAACCCACAACAGTCATTTGAAGCAGGTAGAATATCTCCTTTTAATAGAGGAGGAAGCTATCCTTAGGAACAATTCCTCAAAGCAGAATTACCAGATTAAATGTTACACTTTAAGACTGTGATATATTTTGCCAAACACTCCTCCTAAAAGGTTTATCTAATTTTCATTCCAACCATCAGTTTATGAGGTTTCTTATTCTGTCATTAGCAATAGGTATCATTATTTTTAAAATGTACATTTGCTAAGTCAGCGAATAAAAAATTATATTTAACTTTCATTTCATCTATTAAACTATTCCTTTTCAAGTATTTATTAAGTGTCATCTATATTAAGTACTGTACTGGACATTTTCATAGATATTATCTCACTTAAACCCACAACAGTCATTTGAAGCAGGTAGAATATCTCCTTTTAATAGAGGAGGANACATTTTCATAGATATTATCTCACTTAAACCCACAACAGTCATTTGAAGCAGGTAGAATATCTCCTTTTAATAGAGGAGGAAGCTAAGGCTTGGACAAACTTAGTTTCATCTCTGGCACACACCAGCTCTGTGTATTCCTTCTGCCCCACATTTAGCTGGACCAAGAAACCAGGAGGATGCTGTAATACTCCTCTCCCAAATACAAAGAAGCCTACCAGCTCACACATATGGAGTCTGTTCTCTTCAGCTGTGGGAACTAACTGGAAAAGATTCTCACACAATTAGTAGGTCCTCAATCAGTAAGGGTATCTACCACACATGGTAGGACCTTAAAACATGTTTGTTGAATAAATGACTAAATATGGACTAGGTGATTAGTACCCATTTATGAACCTACATTCCTCCATCATAATTTCTGCCTCAGGGCCTTTGCACAAGATGTTCCCTCTGACTGAAATGCTTTTCCTCCCCACTTTTAA